ACCCTTCAGCCGAAGTAAGTGCATGACTGAAGAGTGGTTGGCTGGAATTAACCAACACTTTGTACTCCTTAGCCGAAGTAAGTATATCGGCTAAGAAGTGGTTGGCTGGCAAGCATAGATTAAAAAGCCAAAACCGAAATAGAAGTTGGAGTAATAGAAGACATTACAAAATGCAAGCATACACACAACAACCGGAATAAGAGTTGCGTAAAATTTTCATTCAAAGAGAAGTCATTACATGGGCATACTTCGGTTACAAAGAGAAGAAAAAATTAAGAGAAAAGTTCATCAATTTCAGCATCAAAAGCCGCATCATCGCTAACTCGAAGAACGGTCTCAAGAGGAAGCTCACTCTCGGCTGCCATGATTCCTTCGGTTGGAACCACGTCTTCATTCGGCTGTTCGTTAGGATGGTCCTCTACCATGGGTTCCAACCGAAGTGATGGGTCGGCACCAACAACCGGAATGTCTTCAGGAGCAGAGGAGTCATCAGTGTCAGAGCCCTCCAGGAACTCTTGTTGCAAGGCATTTGCATACGCCGCAAGGGACTTCGGTATAAAGTACGCTGGAGGGTCGAAGACCTCGATCTGTTCATCATGACCGAGCTTCTCCACAGCCGCCCTCCAGCCGCACTTGAAGAAAAGCTCCTTGGCGGCGTCGCATTGTTTGACATAGGCCTCCTCTGCCTCCTTGAAACCTCGCTTGTACCCCTCCTTTTCGGCCGCCTCCATGTTCTTTTTCAGTTCGTTTATTTCGGCGTCTTTTCTCTTCTCAAGCTTCAGCAGCTCACGCAGATATTTGTCTTTCATTACAATGGCCGCTTTTTGCTTCTCCGCTTCAGCCGAATTAACCAGCTCGGCAAGTCGGCCGTTCTCCGCTTGAAGCTCGGTCATTCTCCTTTCGGCCTCCACTAGTTCGACCGCCTTTGCTTCGGCTTCCGCCATTGCTTGCCTTGTGGTCTTGCGGAGTTCTTGGACTTTCCTATAAGTGATATTGTTCTTTTGCAAGGCCTGCCAAAACAAAGATTTCTTCTCAGCCGAAGTAAAAGTTGGAAAAATTTAGACAGAAAAAACAGACAGAGCTACTTACCAAGATCATGGACTTGGAAGCAGACCGAATTGATTTCATTTCGGTGTTCAGTTGCTTCAAGTGGTGCTCCATGTCCTTGGGGAGGCACACACTTTTGGCCAGGTTAAAGGCCAGTTGGTGGTCTTTTTCGGCTACGACCGAGTCAGTGGCTTTGATGTTTCGGTCGTTGAAGGTCAGCGGCGGAGCCCACTTCGGAGATTCAGCTCGGTCAGTTTGCTCTGGTTGAGGGGAAGGTTGAGGGCTCTGGGGGATGGATTCAACCTCATCGACAAGTTGCTGTTCGGTCGATGTAGGTCGGGCGCGTTTTGAAGGTCGAGATGTAGAAGGCTGCTGAGAAGGGAGGGCCACAACGGCAGGCTGTGCCTCGATGGATGGCTGTACTTCGGCTCTGGTTGTTGCAGTCAGAAGGGCCCTAACTCTGCTCTTCTTTGCCATCTCTTCTTCAGCAGTTAATGGGACAAGTCGTATTTCGGGCAAGCGATTGACTGGGAGGCGTTACTTCGGGCCTAGTTGTTTAGGTGAGAAGGGCCCTAACTCTGCTCCTCTTCGCCATCTCTTCTTCAGCGGTTAGTGGGATAAGTCTTATTTCGGGCAAAGTTGGGTCCGGTTCTGGGTCTTCCTCAAGAAGAAAATCGGTTACCCTTGCTTTTCGGCGACCGCTGTACCAGTAGGTCGGTTCAAAATTCAGAAGCTTAGCCCAACTCCTCTCTTGGCACCGTAGTGCGGCTCGCAAAATTGCAAGGTTGGGATAGCTATATAGAGAACGGAGGTGGGCAAAATCTGCGAAAAAGAAAAAGTGTTAGTTCGATCAACAGACTAGAAAAACCGATGTAAACGTACAAGGAAGAAGACCGAAGTTGAATTACCAGGCTCTCCCATTTTCCAATTTATAGGTCGGCCAGGAATTTGGGCTTGAAAATCCTCAAAGTTCCCAGAGACCCAAAAGAAATCATCATCATTAAGATCTTTATCCAGTGTGTGTTTAACTATCTTCTCTCGGCGACGGCGAATCCTAAGGTACACTCGTGAGAATAGATCAAAGAGATCTCAGGGGTCCGAACTGTTTAACGCGCACGGGTACCCCCTGGGCATGTTACACTAGTCTGTCTAAGAAATTCGCAGATTAGCGGTTGGACAGGAAACCGCAGTCCGGTTTCTATTATGGATTGAAGGGTAAAAGGGACGAAGCCTTCATTGTCCCAGGGAGTAGCATCTTTTTCGGCCAACGTCAGATGGACGTCGTCAGGAATTTGGTAATCCTCCCTAAATTCGGCCATGCCACCAGGGGTCTCGACTAGATATCTATACTTACCCATCTGGTGAATAAATTATGAATAAATTATTTCGGTACAAAAATTTGGCTCAGTAGCTCGGTTGAGCACACGCAGGAGTGCCTGGGCAACCTAAGTCTGCAAGGTAGAAAACAAAGGGGTTAAGCACAGATCGTTGGACCGCGCTACAAATTATAAGCAAGATATACAAATCCTACTTCGGCTTAGTGGGCTGGTTCTACCTCGGCCCATCAGAAGGTTTGTTAGCTCGGTTTTGAGCAGTTTAGACCGGTTTAACGTCTAGGGGCAGCTTTCTGAGTTCGGTCTAAAAATCTAAGAAAGCTGGTTTAGTCCCAAGGCTTAAATCGGTTGCAGTATGAGGATAGTTACTTCGGTTGAACCCCTAGGGGCGGTTTTCTGAGTTCGGTTTAAGAGCTAAGAAAGCCGGCTTGGCCCCGAAAGGCTGAGCTCGGTTATGGACCGAAGTACCCAGTTCGGTGTGTACAAGCTTGTTTGGTGATCTTATCTCGGCTAGAATGGTTCGGTGGAAACCAATGATATTCCTACAAGTTCTAGTTCGGTTATTTTCTGAATCTATCTACATACATAACACAAACAGTATCCTAGTTCGGTTGCTATGTGATTTTGGATCCGAGATTGGTTTCTCTACATAACAGTTCATACACGTACAAGTTCTATGATTTTTTCATGGAAGTACAGAAGCAAAAACAAGAAATACACAAGCATGCTTCACCAAGATTGAGAAAACAGAAACGAAGAAAGCAAAAAAACAAGTTTTCTCAGAACTTACCAGGGGGAAACAAAGGCAAAGAAGGAAGAATGGTAGCAAAACCACAGCTTCTTCGAGTACGAACGGAAGAACAGATAGAGCACGCAGGGAGAAGACGAAGAATATGAAAAGTATAAGTGAATGATCCAAGAGGAGAAGGGTTGCGAGTACGAACGGAAGAACAGCTAGAGCACGCAGGGAGAGGACGAAGAATATGAAAAGTATAAGTGCATGATCCAAGAGTAGAAAGGTTGTTTTGTGAAAGAATGGAGAGAAAAAGGCGGCAAAAAGAGGCGGGAATTTTTTTGTAGGGCGGCGTGACAGTTGGCCACAGCTTATCAGAGTTTTCCACGTGTCACTGGAATGGGAAGCATTACAGTCGCTGTGATTGAAGAGACGTTTTGACCGGATATAGTGATACCCGAGGTAAACTTAGCTCGGCTGGAAAGGCTAAAGGATTTTTAGCTCGGCTGAAAAAGGGTAACAAATTCTAGCTCGGCCAGAAGGCTGGTAATCCCAATCATGTTGCACAGATGGAATTAAGGGGCAATTGAGAGGGTAATTTTTGGGAAAAATTGGGCCGAGCTTCGAGTTGGGTTTTGAGGCCCAAAACGCAGAAAGGCCGTACTGAATACTCCTGCCTAGAAGGCAAGGTTACTCCGGCCTTGGGGAGACAATGTTACTTCGGCCCAAGGAGGTGAGTGTATTCCGGCTCAAGAAAAGATAGTTGCTTCGGCCCAAGGAGGAGTAAAGCTACTCCGGTCCAGAGGCAACTCGGAGTTAGGCCGGTCGCAGAGTTAGTCCGGTCGCATTATGTTCTGGGAAGACCGGCTTCGGAGTTAGTCCGGTCATGACATACTCTGGCTAGGTCAGTCAGAACTTGCTACTTGGAAGTTTGGTCTAAACGCACCAAGGTTGAACAATGGCAGCCGAAGTAATGAGTTAGAAGAGAAGACCGAACTAAGGATAGTTCGGCCTTCTCTGTGACTCAGCATAGCCAGTGTTATTTCGGTCGTGTGGTAGTTCGGCTATGGAGAAAACCATCCCGCTTGGTTTGAGCAGTGGGGGAGGGTGTAAAAGGATAAGCATTATCCTTTGGAGTATGAATCCTAGAAGGACTCTGCATGGAGAAATACAAGTCCTACCAGGATTGTGCCACGGGAAACTTATAAAAGCCTACAAGCATCACCTTGGAGGAGGTAATTGAACACAATCTTTCTGAGAACTTAGAGCTTTGTCTATTTGTCAAGTTTTCTGACTTAGGCATCGGAGAGTTACGATATTTTCAGCTGGTATCATCAAAGGCAATCTTCGTCCTGAAATTCCAAGCTGGTGTGACCCGGCATGGAGATTATTGATGGAGCGGTGTTGGTCATCTGATCCAGACTCTAGGCCAGCATTCTCAGAAATTGCAAAGGAATTGCGTGCCATGTCAGCAGCCGTGAACATCAAGTGATTGCAATTTGGTTGTGTAAATACTTTAGGAGCACAGAGAACGGGGCATTCTGAGACGTTGACAGATCTTGGCCGTCCAATGTCTTGTCTGATCTCAACATTAAACCCCTTGTATTAGGGAAAAGCCAAACCGGGTGAATATTTTATTTTGGCAGTCACTGGTTTGTAATAGCGCCACTGTATAGGATATAGAACAAACTTTTGGTATCAGGTTGTTTTTGATTCTTGTCATCGACTAACAGACAAGTCTTGAACAGCTTTTACCACAGACAATGCTAATTGACTTTTTTTTCACAGCATCATCTCCCTCCATTTCCCCCCCCCCCCCCCCCCCCCCGTTGGGCCAATTCCAAGTTGCACGGGTCTGGGGTGTTGTCTGTCTTTTGTCTTCTCTTATGGCGAGTTGGGGTTACATTGCTCTCATGTTAGGAGGTGAGGATACTGATCCACAGCTTGTTCTCTGCCTTGCCATTTTCGGTTGGTTGAACGTTTGCAGGTTGTCATATACGCACCTGTCCTCTGCACCCCACGTCCACGTTCTGTTCATACCTGAGGGATGAGGATGCAGAGTTATTTGCTCTGTGGGCCCAAGAAAGTCTTCAGTGAATTGCCTCCTCTAAGTTGGTCCTGCTCAGAACGGTTGTCCAACTAGGAGTCCACATATGTTGCTCAACCCCACTTCGGATGGTTATGCCATCCAGAAGGTCCACCGTTTGCTCGGCCCACTTTGGAGTGACGCTCGTAAACATTGGACCGGAACTCTCATGACTGTCTTACTTTCGAACAAAGTTTGGCCATAAGGCTGAGGGTGTCCGAGCCTAGCTCCACTTTGGAGTGAGTATCTGCATTGGGCTTAGCACCATAAGACTTGATTAATTTTTACCCACTCAATTGCCACCACTGCTTGCGCTTACGTTGGCGAAGCGGACAGCCAATCTGTCACAAAACTTCGGAATTGGTCGATCACAAACTTATTTGAGCCCCGTGAGTAGTTCAAAATTATTGTTCGGTTCAACGTTTGTTGTCTGCCAATATTTCGTAGCTCGGTTTGGCCCCCGAAACTAAACTGTATTCTCAACTAGCCTTGTAATGTTCTAGCTTGGTGCTCTTTCCAGTTGGCTGCGCGTTGTTGCTCGCTTGGAAATAAAAAATACACATATATCAAAAAATAATAATAATATAAATAATAAATAAATAAATAAATAAATAAATAAAATTATTTATTTTATTTTAAATATAATATATATATGATACTCAAATTTTATTTTATTTAAAAATATATATACACAAATTTTTTATTTTATTATACTATATAATATTTTATATAAAATATTTTGGATATATATACATATATATTTCTAAGTTGACAAACTAAAATCCGAGCATTTACAAATCTGCTTCACATTATTTCCAAGCATTCTTACATAGCCAACTTCTAAACTTGTTTTGAATAATATAGATGGGTAATGCCTTGTGGGCCACAACCTTTGATTGCATGCATGGTAAATCCATGCAAAAACTATTTTTGGTAATTTGTTGGCTACAAACTTGTATTCCACTTATCAAATTATGTAAGGGTTGCCATGAAAGTGCTTGGTGGGCAATTGCTTGCTTGACTTCAGGTGCATAGTCCAGGATATAATCCTCCCTTGCCTTACTCCACATGCATTATCAAGTAGGTTTATTGGTGGGCTTGAACGTGCAAAAATTGTATATATTCCCAAGCACGAGTATGGAAACGTAATTAGCAAAACTGTTTCGGTCTCACTTCTTCATTGCGTTGGTTCGGTCGTGTCTTTGATTGCTGCTGCGTCCGAAATATTGGTTGGTTTGCTCCGTGTTGTATGAATCGTTCGGCTGCGTCTTGTCGCCCAACGCAGCTCTTTGATTCATTTCAATTCATAGTTGCCTCACACGCCAGCTTGGCTTACCTCAATGCATCGTTACAACTTGGTCGAATTATCGTTCGATGGCTCGTCAACCCTTTCCGACATCTTGTGGGCCGAACAACTCTTATTATTTTACGCAAGACTTACCCAGCTCGGTCTTAATTATTTGATCTTCCAATTCTCGTTCTGGCGTCGTTCGCTCCCTTTCTGCATTTTGTAAAATTGTTTTTCCAAATCTGGCAAGTTGTTCAGTCCCATGTTCGGGCCTTCTTGATCTTGTTAATTTGATGTTGTACTGGTGCTGCGGTTGGCAAACTAAATATCAAAAAGAAATCTATTGCAGACTCAGTCTTTGTAAGCTCGGCCATTTGAAGTACCTCCAAAGCTGGATTGTTCAGTTTCCTGAAAATGGATTTCTCGAGAAAATTGGAGGTTGAGATCTCGAGATTGGGTTTTGTGAGAAAGTCTCTTGGTTGGTGAGGTTGAATTTTGCGTTGAAGATTGGTTGAGAGTGGTTGAGGTTCGAAGCTGAGGAAAGAGACTATTGGGCTGCGAAGATCGAATCGACCTATGACGCAAGAGATTAAGGAGCGAACCAACTCTCATCTCTCTGGTTTCGAACAAATTTAAAGCATCCAATCCAAATCAACCTGCATACAATAATCCCCTTCATCAAGCTAGTTGCAACCACAAATTCACTGCTTTCTTGCACTAACCATTTCACCTTTGCTTTGAAGCATCTACCACATGTTCCTTTGCTTCCACATACTCCAATCAACAACTTGTATAAGATGCCCTCAGAAGAACCCACCCCATTTCTCATATATTCAACCAACTCACATGCCACACTGGACTTAGGTTTTTTTAACCAACAGCCTGAATAGCAGCTACTAGTATATCGCTGCATTCGACTAAGCCTACCGTTCTGCCTCATGGTCTCCTTCCTCAAACAGCACGCATCACCACGTGTATAGTAAAACAGGTC